CCTCCTCCTCCTCCTCCTCCTCCTCTCCTCCTCCTCTCCCACCTCCTCCTCCTCTCCTCCTCCTCCTCCTCCTCCTCCTCCTCCTCCTCCTACCTCCTCCTCCTCCCTCCTCCTCTCCTCCTCCTCCTCCTCCTCTCCTCCTCCTCCGCCTCCTCCTCTCCTCCTCCTCCTCCTCCTACCCTCCTCCTCCTCCTCCTCCTCCTCCTCCTCCCTGGCCCCCGGGGACTGCCCCAAGACGGCTCGGCGGGGGACGAGCCGGCGGCGGGGCGGCGGCCCGAAGAGCAGTCTCGGTCGGTCGCCGGGGGGTCTGGGCGAAGAGCGAGCACCTCTGCTGGGCTGCCCCTGGGCGGCCGCCGGGCAGCGGAGGCCCGGCGAACGGCATCGCCAGCGCCAGCGCAGGATCTGCAAGGGCTGGTTCTCGGTAAGTCGTCTCACCAGCGCACTTTTCGCGCCTGTCCCTGCTGCACGGTGTCCCCCGGGGCCGTAGGCGACCCGAGGAGGAGGAGGAGGAGGAGGAGGAGGAGGAGGAGGAGGAGGAGTGGAGGGGGAGGAGGAGATGAAGGAGGAGAAGGAGGAGGAGGAGGAGAAGGAGGAGGAGGAAGAGGAGGAGGGAGGAGGATAGAGGAGGATAGAGGAAAAAGAACTATGCACATACACCGATTCTGGCCAGGCCCATCCTGAGCCATGGATCGGTGCATACGCCCTCCTATCTTGGCCAGGAAGGCATATGCACCGATCGTGGGTCAAGGATGGGCCTTGCCAGGATCGGTGCATGTGCATAGTTCTCCTCGCCCGAGAGGAGGGAGGTGTAGGAAGGGGAGGAGGAGGAGGAGGAGGAGGAGGAGATGGAGAGGAGGAGGAGGTGGAGGTAGGAGGAGGGAGGAGTAGTAGTAGTAGTAGTAGTAGTAGGAGGAGGAGGAGGAGGAGGAGGAGGAGGGGGAGGAGTACGGGTCACATAAGCCCTTCGGAGAAACCCTCCATCCTGGGTTCCTCTCCAGGGACCGCTCATTCTGGTCGGTGGCCTGGCCACGTGGCCTCCACCTGGCTTACCGCAATTGTTACACCTGAGAAAACCCAATCAGTGGATAATTTGAAAATTAGTCATATGGATCTTGAGATCGGTTGTGAGATCGATAATGAGATCGATAGTGGAATCGATAGAGGACGATTGTAAGGTCGATCGTGAGACCGATGCGGAGATCGATAGGGATATCGATCGCGAGATCGCTCGTGCGATCTCCAGTGAGATCGCTTGCGAGATCGATTGTGAGATCGATTGTGAGATCGATGGTGAGATCGATAGAGGTAGGAAATGAGAACGATGCTGAGGCCGATCGATAACAAGATCGACCAAGAACCCCGGAACCTGAGAACCTCGCCGCCCACCGAAATCGGCCCGGGGACCGGGAACCTGGGCACCCGGAACTGGGAACCCGGGAACCCAGCGTGCAACCAAAATCGGCGAGAAACTTTCGCCAAATCCTTCAACCTCCGCTAGGACCCCTTCAGTGCAAGCACTGATTGGGGAACATCACCATGGGTCGCAGTCATGCCAAGCACGTGACGACGTGCCGCTCGGAGCGGGAGAGCCAGGCGCGGATGGTGGGCGCCCCGCTGTGAGCAGATCTTGTCCGCGCTGTCGATATGCAGCACATCGCTTCTGCAGGGTGAGGCGCTTCCCTTCTCTTGCTGCCCAGTTGACGCGCCAGCGCATGAGCGCAAGAAGGCAACAGGAGGCTGCACTCTTCGAACTGCACGCCGCTTTTCCCGAATATGCCCACTAGCTCCCCTGGGATTATCTCACCTGGTTGCCACGTACCCCTCTTCTGCCCGACGCTCTCCTGCTCCTCCTACGCCACTCCGACGATTTCTGCTACCCTCCTATGGGTTCCTGCCGACGCCTACACCTTACCCACCATCTTGTGATCTCACCTCTGCCTCAACTCGTGCTCATGTATGGCCCGCCCCTCCACGTCCTTCCAACCACCGTGCTACCTCTAGGAAAGCTGAACGTGGAACGCGTGGGCCACGGCGAGCCTGAGCTACGAATACGTAGGCTTCCCCGACCTGGATCGAATGAGCGGCCCGAAATCCAGAGCCCCTCCTGGCCGCAAATGTTATTCGTCGCCTAGACTGTATGTATTAATGCTCCGTGTGCATACAGATATACAAGACTGCATTGGCGCGTCGCGCCATGCACTTTGGTCCCCCCGCCCCCCTCCCCCCGTTAACCTCCCCACTCCCTCCGCCCCCCTTCCCCCCCCCCCAACCCGCCCCCCCCCGTCCCCCGCCCCCCGCCCCCTGCCCCCCTTCCCCCGCCCCCCCCTCCCCCCGCCCCCCGCGCCCACCCCCCTCCCCCCTCCCCCGGCCCCCATCCCTCCTCCGCCTCCTCCTCCCCTCCACAATTATTCAATATGAAAATAGTCTCCCTCTTCCCCTGATGGCGTCCGGGTGATGGCCGCGCACCCTCCGCGTACTGTTTTTTAACACACAGGATCCCGGGAAATCCCGGGAAACGACTCTCGCTGAGGCGCCGGCGTCATTTGTTCCCAAAGTGCTGCTCTCGTTGAGGCGCCGGCCTCATTTCTGCTCCCGAATCGTTCCGAATCGTGTTCCCGCTGCAGCGTGGGCCTCATTTTCGGATCGGTGTTTGGCCTCCGTCGTTCAGGATGGCGTTCTCGCCCCAGCGCGGGCCTTTTTCTCGCGCGCCCATCCGCCCGCCACCACCGCGCCGCACCGCCACCACCACCACCACCACCACCACCACCACCACCACCACCACCACCACTACACCACCACCACCACCACCACCACCACCACAACCACCACCAGCACCAGCACCACCACCACACCACACCAGCACCAGCACCAGCACCACACCACCACCACCACCACTACCACCACCACCACCACGACAACCACGCACACACGCACGCACGCACGCACGTGCACCACCACCCACTACGCACGCGCGCGCGGAGCCACAGATCCGCTACGACACGCGTCCGCGGATAAAGAAAATCAGCGCCATGGTAATGGCTGGGAGGGGGGGGTAGGACGTCAGATATGACGCGAGCGCACCTAGCTTGCCCTCCCCCCTCCCCCTCCCCCCGCTCTTCCCCGTACCTTCACAATAATTCCTGCAAAATGACGATGGAGGCATCTGGAACTCCACCTCCACCCCCCGCCCCCCCCCCAAAAAAAAATAGCCTGACGAAGGACCCAACCATATGCAGGTGTGAGTACCGCAATTGTGATTCCCTTTTTCGGTGGTGATCCCTATGAGGCAACGAACCGTGCTAGGGGTGTGCCGAAATGAGTGGCGTGGTACACGACGCGAACGAAAACGATTGATCTGAGTACGTAGGGAGACTGAGCGCGGGTGAATCTGAGCGCGAGTGCGTCTGACTGTGAATGAATTTGCGTGCGAGCGAGTCTACGTGCATGAATGCGAGTACGCCAATGCATGGTGCAATTGTATATGAATGCTAATAGTTTGTGAATGACTGCCTCTGAGTACTCGTGACGCTGGGCGTGGCCGCCGCAAGGAGCTTCCCCGGGGCTCCCCGACGGCATCGCCCGCGCGCCGCGACGCCACCGCGAGGATCGCGCCCGCTTCCTCCCCTTCTTTTACTCCCTCTTTGCCCGCGCACTCAAAAAAATCCAAAGCTGCGGGCGCAGCGCAGCGCGGAGTCCCAGCGACGCGCGCAGGTCGCCCCGGAGGGGTCCCAGCGACGCGCGCGGGTCGTCCGTTGCGCGCAGCAAAAAGAGCTAGCTGGCTGGCTGATAGCGGGCAAGGCTCTTGCCGCTGGGCAGAGCGACGACGGGCGAGCGAGGCGCAGAACTCCGACGGCCTCCGGCGGAGGTGTACTGGGTGGGGGAGACGCGACTGCGCCACGGGGACCTTCGGTGGAGCTCCCTATGGGGCCACGAAACGTGTGAGGGATGTGCCGAAATGGGTGTGCGGGACGCATGCGGGCACACCCACTGAGACCTTCGGGTGGGCTCCCTATGGGGCCGCGGAACGTGTGAGGGATGTGCCGAAATGGGTGTGCGGGACGCATGCGGGTACACCCACTGGGACCTTCGGTGGAGCTCCCTATGGGGCCACGAAACGTGTGAAGGGTGTACCGAAATGGGTGTGCGGGACGCATGCGGGCACACCCACTGGGACCTTCGGTGGAGCTCCCTATGGGGCCACGAAACGTGTGAGGGGTGTGCCGAAATGGGTGTGCGGGACGCATGCGGGTACACCCACTGGGACCTTCGGTGGAGCTCCCTATGGGGCCACGAAACGTGCAAGGGGTGTGCCGAAATGGGTGTGCGGGACGCATGCGGGCACACCCACTGGGACCTTCGGTGGAGCTCCCTATGGGGCCACGAAACGTGTGAAGGGTGTGCCAAAAATGGTGTGTGCGGGACGCATGCGGGCACACCACTGGGACCTTCGGTGGAGCTCCCTATGGGGCCACGAAACGTGTGAGGGGTGTGCCGAAATGGGTGTGCGGGACGCATGCGGGCACACCCACTGGGACCTTCGGTGGAGCTCCCTATGGGGCCACGAAACGTGTGAGGGGTGTGCCGAAATGGGTGATGACGATGATGATGGTGGGAGGAGGAAGAGGAGGAGAGGAGGAGGAGAAGAGGAGGAGACGCGGGGACCGTTTCTTCAAAACGAGGACCCAACACCACAGGATGATTGGGAAAAAACAACAAAACTCGAAAGCAGAATCATCGATCCTCGATCCTTTTCCTCCTCCTCCTCCTCCTCCTCTTCCTCCTCCTCCTCCTTCTCCTCCTCCTCCTCCGCCGCCGCCCTCCTCCTCTGCCCTCCTCCTCCGCCCTCATCCTCCGCCGTCCTCCTCCACCTTCTTCTTCCTCCTCCTCTTCCTCCTCCTCCTCCTCCTCCTCGTCCTCTTCGCCCTCCTCCTCCTCCTCCTCCTCCTCCTCCTCCTCCTGCTCGCTCCCGCCAGCCCACTCCCCGACCCCCCCCCCCCGTCCTGACGGCAGGGTCGGCGGTACGACCTGCACGGGTGGCTGCGTAGCCGCCACCGGCGGCACGTACGACCCGCCTGTGGTTGCGGGGGCACTGGCTGCGGAGGGCGGAGGGGGGGAGGAGACAGGATGGAGAAGAGAGAGAGAGAGAGAGCAGTGATCAAGAAAGAGGAAGTGGTGAGTACAGTGCACGAGGCATCAGCAGTACAGAGGAGGGAGGAAGGGAGGAAGAGGAGAAGGAGCAGGGAGCGGAAACAAGAGGACGAGGAGGAAGATGAGGAGGACGGAGGTTGAGGGTGAGAGGGAGGAGGGGGGAAGGAGTGGCTGGAGAGGGCCCAGAGACAGTCCCACAAAGCTCCCAACCAGCCCCAAAAACAGGAGAAGATGGTCTCACGAGGGCATCAGGGCTCCAAGACGACCTCAATCCTTGTCCTGACAGCCCAAGGATGGTTCTGCCGAGCCGTTCTGAAGAGGTCGGTGCCATCGCGGCCAGGCCACGTCCTGGTCACCCCGCCCCCCCCCAGCCCGAGGCGATGGCGAGAGCTCGAACCCTCGGCCCTGGTTCCAGCCCGAAGCACAAATCGCGTGGCTGTCCAGGGCCTTTTCTTGATCGACATAATGTCGACTGGCCATCCAGAAACATCAAATCGACCCATAATCATGGAGGATGCTTGTCGCCCTGAGTGGAGACTATATCGGATGGGTCGCTGCCGAGCAGACATCGGCACGCATCATCGAATCTACAGTCAACTCGTCTTATAAGGATGCGAGGGACTTGGAAGGACGTGTCGCCGCTTTGCGGGCGGGGCGCGGCCAGCGAAAGCGGCCAAGCACGAGCCGAAGGGGAAGGATGCAAGGGTAGCCTTGGAATGTCGCTCGCCCTTACTGTTCAGGTTGACTGTATCGAAATCGTGGACCCCGAGGACCCTCCTTCCGCCCCTCTTGCGCCACCCCGACGCGGCCCAGATGAGGGGCCCAAGACGCCCCCCAGACGGCCCAAGGCGACCCAAGGGGGCCCAGGGTAGACCAAGCACTGCCCTGCTGAGGCCTTATTGGGGACTCGCGGCGCATCTTGGGGGCTCCTTGGGCACCCTCAAGCGCGCCTTGCCCAGGTGAGCTCTCCCTGGCCGCCCTCGCGCCCTCGCATGTTGCCTCGGGGCCCCCTGGGCAGTCTCGGGTGCCCGCCCACGGCAGCACGGATGGCCCCCTGTGGTTATGTTGCTTCCATCGCACTTGCGGACCACATTCCAGAAATGATGCCGAGCACCCCGACAAGTATCGCACCGGTGTCTGCCCGACACGCTGGCGAAATGTAGCACGAAAATCGCCTCCCAGCGCCCGACACGTGAAAACCCTTCAGCTTCGATGCTTCCTTGGTGCTCGAAACTCTTTCTGACGATCAAGACTAAAGCAGGTTCGAACATCGTAACTCTGGGGTTACCTTGAGGCCCTCCTGGGCCGCCTCGGGCCGCTGCCCAAGACAGCGCGGATGGCCACGAGAGGCACCAGAACTTGGGGGGGTCCGACACGGCGCGGTGACAGACCGCGCGGTGACCTCGGACTCCCCAGCAAGACCTCACCGCCTGCTCCTCCTCCTCCTCCTCCTCCTCCTCCTCCTCCTCCTCCTCCTCCTCCTCCTCCTCCTCCTCCTCCTCCTCCAACCCGAATCCCCACTGATTCACGACGACAGCCCTCCTCCGAGCGCTTGGTTTCTGGACCATAACTCGCGTCTCTGGCGGCCGTTCGGGACGATCTGGGCACCCCCGAAACGCTCTCGGCGAGGCGCAGCCGCCGGAGGGCATCCCAAGGCAGGAAGACCCCAGGAACCGAGGCAAACGTCCGAGGAACCCAAACCCCAACGAACCGACGAGTCTCCGGTGACTCACCAAACGGTGTGGTCATAACACCGTGCGGGGGCCCCCGAAGAACGCCCGTGCGGGCCTCCCCAGTAAGCGCGCAGGGCAGGCGGGGATTGGCGGCGCGCACAAGGGGGTAGGGGGAGGGGGGAAGGCTTCTTAGAAGGAAGCTGCTTCTGAGAAGCCTTCCCCCCTCCCCCTACTAAGGAACCGAACTCTGTATATACCGACGCTATTTCCAGCCCTGCACTGAAATCTGCAAGCAAGAAAGCGGATCCTGGCGTACACGGGATCATGGTGTATAAATGTTTCGCCGCTGCCCAGAAAACAGCATAAAAAAGTATACGCCACCCGACGTCGTCCTCGACCCTCAAAAAGTCCTGGAACTGAAAAACAGCCCGCCACTGGTAATGCATATGCTCCAGTTTCCGACCTACCCCCCACTTCGGTGGCAACTCATCGAAGCCTCCCATACCATCTTGTCGACTCCTGCGAATCGACGCTAATCGACGCTGGATCGACGCTAATCGACGCTAGATCGACGCTAACCGACACTAACCGATGCTAAATCAGCGCTATCTCATCGACTCCCAGACGCCAATCGACGCTAAAGACGGAATTACGAGGGTGTAAAAGGCTCGGTTGATTTGCTACCGAAGGCTCCCCCTCGGCGGCGAGCGCGGGGGGGAAGTGAGAAGGAGAAGGCCCTCTCAAAGGCGGCGGGACTTCTCAGAAGCCCGCGCGCCTTCTGAGAAGCTGCCTGCGTCTTCGGAGAAGGCTTAGAACTTTTCTCTCTCAGATTTGGACGCCCGAAATGGGCACCGAAAGAATGGGTACAATGCCCAACAACAAATGTTGTCCCAAACCAACAGCGGCCGCTGTTGGGCAGGCGGCCTTCTGTCTCGAATGGACACAGGCCGCGGCGGCGCGGACAGCGAGCCCTGTTCAGAATGAACAGGATCCGCTGTTGGACATCGTACCCATTCTTTCCGTGCCCATCTCGGGCGTCCAGATCAGAAGGCTGGGGGACTTCTGAGCCGCCCGCCCCGTCTCACTTCGCCCCCTCTGCGCGTTGCTGCGGGGAGCGCAGCCCTGGCCACGCCTGGCAGGGGCGCCACGGAGGGCGGCGCGTAGGTCGACGGCGGCGCGTAGGCCGCCGGAGGCGCGCCTGCGGGCGCCCGCGGGGGACTACGCCCGACACTGCCGCCGACTGAACGGCGGCGGCGGCGACGGCGGCGGCGGCGGCGGCGACGGTGGCGGCGATGGCGGCGGCGAGGTCGACGGCGAGGTCAAGGACGAGGCCGAGGACGAGGACGAGGACGAGGCCGAGGACGAGGACGACGACGACGACGAAGACGACGACGACGACGACGACGACGACGACGACGACGACGACGACGACGACGACGACGACGGCAACGACGACGGCGACGACTGCGGCGACGACAACGGCGGCGGCGGCGTGGTCGCCACCGCTGGCGCCACGGGGGGCGCAGCGTCGCCGTGGCGAGGTGAGCCCCCGGTGTGGGCGAGCGGGCTCGCCAGCTCGAAGGCGGCGGGCGGCCGTGCCACTTCAGGGCGGGGGGGCTGGCTGGCTCTGTGATGTTTCAACCTCCTCCTCGTCGCCCTCCTCCTTCTCCTCAGTCTCCTCCTCCTCCTCCTCCTCCTCCTCCTCCTCCTCCTCCTCCCGGTCGCCGCGGTCGTCCGCGAGGGCGATTGCGCCGACCAGCAGGACGACGACGAAGACGACGACAACGACGAGGACGAGAGACTAACGAGCACGAGGACGGCTGTCTAGCCTTGAGCAAGGCTCCCGATCCTCGGCGGCCTGCCTCTGCCGGCGCGGTGGGGGTCGGTGGCGGGTCTGGCGCCCCCGCCCTCGCAGCGTGGCACGGCCCAGGCGGAGCCGCAGCAAGAGTGCAAGGTGCATGTGTCGTCGGCGGCGATGACGGGCAGATTCTCCACCACCACCACCACCAGATGCAGGACAGGGGGAGAAGGGGGGATGAGGAGGTCCTCCTGCTCCTCCTCCTCCTCCTCCTCCTCCTCCTCCTCCTCCTCCTCCTCCTCCTCCTCCTCCTCCTCCTCCTCCTCCTCCTCCCCATCCATTATTCCATTCCTTTCCTTATGGATAACTCCTCCCTGTCGGACCCCGTGGACAATTTTTGGGGGCGGGCCGGGCGTTTCGCTTGAGATTTTCTCACCACTGATGATTCTGAAGCTAAAAAGTGACAAGAGTTTCACAAATTCAGGGCGGATCGCTTTCAAAATGTGGTTCTCGCCTTAGCGCCGCGCACATTCGTCTTCAAACGTTGCAAGAGCTTCACGGATTGATGGAGGCTCCTTTTCAAAATGTGGTTCTCGCCTTAGCGCCGCGCACATTCGTTTCAAAATTTGCAAGAGCTTCACGGATTGAGAGCGGGTGGTTCTCAAAATATGGTTGTCGCCTTAGCGCCGCGCACTTTCGTTTTAAAAAGTTGCAAGAGTTTCACGGATTGAGGGCGAGTGGTTTTCAAAATGAGGCTCTCGCCTTAGCGCCGCGCACATTCGTTTTAACAATTTGCAAGAGCTTCACGCATTGAGGGCGGCTCCTTTTCAAACTGTTGTTCTCGCGTTAGCGCCGCGCATATTCGTTTCACAAATTTGCATGAATTTCACGGATTGAGGACTGCTTCTTTTCAAAATGCGGTTCTCGCCCTAGCGCCGCGCGCATTCGTTTTAAACATTTGCAAGAGTTTCACGGATTCCCATGATCAACATACCAGACATGGCGTTTGGGAAGGATTCTGGATTATGCGGGCGCAACAAGTATGTTGATTCGCGGTGTCGAAGTCCCAAAAAATGGCGCTCTGGCACGATTCCGGATCGTCAAGACGCAGCAGTCAAATTAAGACGTGGTGTTAAAATCCCGAGAACAATGTTTTGGTACCCTTCAGGATTTTCAGACGGTTGTCTTCCAGCGAGGCAGTTCCCTTCATGAAAATGAACCGTTGTGGGGGCCGATGAAGCGGGAGCTTGGAGGGAGGGTTAATTCCAACATCGTTGATGACCCCTCCTCCCCCCCCTCCTCCTCCGCCTCCTCCTCCTCCTCCTCCTCCTCCTCCTATTCCTCTTCCTCCTCCTCCTCTTCCTCCTCCTCTTCCTCCTCCTCCTCTTCCTCCGCCTCCTCCTCCTCCTCCTCCTCCGCCTCCTCCTCCTCCTTTTCCTCCTCCTCCTCCTCCTCCTCCTCCTCCTCCTCCTCCTCCTCCTCTTCCTCCTCCTCCTCCTCCTCCTCCTCCCCCTCCTCTTCCTCCTCCCCCTCCTCCCTCTCCTACATATAATAGTGGTGGTGCAAAATGGGCCCATCAGGCGAGGCAGAGGCAGTCCGCTCCAGCGTGTGGCTATTCGGGGCAATCGAAAAGCGAATTGACCGGGGTTCGGGAGGAAGGAAAAATACGAGGGCGGCCGCGCGGGGGGGGTGAGGGGGGGGAGCGCGCAAGAGCGCCAGGTACTGTCAAAGCGCTTGTTAAGGACGGGTGGTGAGGACGCAGACCCTTGCAGGGCGACGACATCCAATCGAAAACCTCAAAACAAAAAAGAATTGCTTGGGACCTACTGAAGCTCCCATGAAGGATCACACAAGATAACCTCGCCTAACCTTATGTTGTTCCCATCATACTTAAGGACTACATTCCCAAAAGTAAGTACGAACACCCAGAAACCTATCGAAACAGTATCTGCCCGACACGCTAATGAAGTGTCGCACGAGTATCGCCTCCCAGGGCCCGACACACGAATATCCTCCAATGTCCGTACTTTCGTAGTGCTCGACCTTCCTTTCCGGTGCTCGATGCTGACGCAGGTTGGAACACTGTGGCCCTGACCCCTTGCGGCCACAAGGGCAGCGCCTGCCGGCATGGTCTGCAGCGGCACCTGCGTGAAGGACGAGCACCGGCTGCACGCCTCACGCCCAGGGACCCCACCGCCGACCCGCCGGCCCGCCGGCGACCGGGGCAAGAGGCCAGGGCAGGGCGACGGCGCGCGGAGGGAAAAAGAAACACGGGGAGCTGACGAGCACGACCGACGAAGGCCTTCCAAGAGGGGTCCGAATAGAGTGGGCCGGAGGACCGCGCCACACCGCCAGTGCATCGCCAGTGCACCGCCAATGCATCGACGATGCGTCGGCGGCGTCGGCGGCGTCTCGGGCGCCATCGGCGTGGAGGACGTCAACCTCCACATCGAGCTGCATCGCTGATTCACCGGCGATGCGGCGAAATCCTCCTACACCATCTGCTCTGACCCCATCTGGAAGGCCCAGAAACGAGGAGCGCAGGAGGAGGAGGAAGAGAAGGTGGAGGAGGGAGGGGAGAAGAAGGAGGAGAAGGATGAGGAGGAGGAGGAAGGAAATAGACAGACAACGAGGACTGATGAAGGGGCAGGAGCGAGCGAAAACGGATCAACCGAAAGGGATGATGGCGGCCAGGAATGGGAGGGGAAGGGGGACATGCGAAGGAGACAGAGAGAGAGGGAAAGAGAGAGAGAGAGACACACACACATACACACAAACAGAGAGAGAAAGAGAGAGAGAGAGAGATGGAGAGAGAGAGAGAGGAGTGAGAGAAGAGGGGGGAGGAAGGGAGGAAGGGAAAGGAAGGACGAGAAGGAAGGAGGAAGGAGAGTGAGGAAGGAAGGAGAGGAGCGAGCGAGCGAAAACATCGTGGGACGCCGTCTCGAGGCGACGCCGGGAGCACCTGGGAACGGCCTGCTTCGTTACAGCCGAGATGATGGCCGTCGCCCGACAGGTTTCGAAGGGGCCAGAGCCCCGCCCACCTGGACAACCATCTCGCCGCCCTGAGGGAGAAGGGACGACGAGGAAGGCGAGGAAGGGGAGGGGGGGAGGAGGAGGAGGAGGAGGAGGAGGAGGAGGAGGAGGAGGAGGAGAGGAGGAGGAGGGGAGAGGAGGAGGAGGAGGAGGGAGGCGAGGAAGAGGAGGAGGAGGGGGAGGAGGAGGAGGAGGAAGGAGGAGGAGGAGGAGGAGGAGGAGGGAGGAGGAGGAGGAGGAGGAGGAGGAGGAGGAGGGGAGGGGAGGGAGGAGGGAGGGGAGGATGGAGGAGGAGGAGGAGGAGGAGGAGGAGGATGATAGGAGGAGTGCGCAGGAGGAGGAGGAAGGAGAGGAGGGAGGAGGGGGAGGAGGGGGAGGAGGGGAGGGCGAGGAAGAGGAGGAGGAGGAGGAGGAGGAGGACGGGTGGGGGGGCCGCGCACCTGGGGGCGCGAGTCGAGCCACGCGGCCCCCAGTAGCCCGCGCGCCGCGCGCGCGGCCCCAGGCAGACCCGCCACGGACGAACCAGCAACTGGCTGCCAGGGGCGGGCGCGCGCGCGCGCGCCCGCGCGGGCACGGGGGTCCCGCGCCTCCAGCGGCGAGCTGAGGACCCCCGACCACGGGGGCCCTGCGCCTCCAGCGGCGGGATCGGAGCCCCCGACCGCGAGGAAGAACACGACCTGTTTGCCGTAGCCGTCGGGCCTCCACCACCGGCCTCGCGGTGGATCTTCACGCCGCCCAAGTAGTTGGACTGCTGGAACCTCTGCGGCTCGAAAAAGTTGCCCATGGGGAAGAGGTCGAAGCGCGCGGCTTCGATGCGCTGGACGACCTCCGTCATATCCACGCCATACCCGAACACCACGTCGAAGACCTTCTCAGTCTCCGATATCTCCGCCTCCACCGTCCCGGAAACGCCCGACTCCGAGTGCGGCCCCTCCTTGTCGAAGTTCTCCACGCCGACGGAGAGCATCTGCGCCCTCCTCTGCACGAACAGCTGCACCGCCCGCCCGCGCCGAGCACCTTGGAGGTCGAGAGAGGACTCGACCCGCAGCTGGCACTCCACCACTTTGGACTCCGCCGCCACACAGATGCCGGACACCTGCCTCTACAGCGGCGCCACGCCACCTTCGCCGACCCATCGTCGTGGCAGCACTCTGCGGCGACCTTCGGTTCCTCCTCCACCTTCTCCTTCAACACGTACTTCTGGGAGTCAGCCTTGCACCCGTCCGCCTGCACGCGGTCACCCCCGCCCAGCTGCTCCAGCAGGACGTCGACCGTGTCGCGGCTGGCGGGCTCGAAATGCGCGGCCTCTCCCCGCAGTGGGAAGGCCTGCACCTTCAGCTGGGCCTCGAGGTCGCTGTCCTTGACGCCGACCGCCCGCGGCAGGGCCCCGCCAGCCGCCCATGGCGGCGGCGCGTGCCTCGCCTGGCTGCCCAGCGCCAGCGCCTCCTCCGCCTGCTTCACCACCGCGCCTGGGCAGCCAAGGAGACGGGCGGCCGCCAGCCCTTCGCCGAAGGAAGGGAAGTGGCAGCCGAGCATGTATCCGATGTGCCAGTGCGCGTCCAGCGCCACGCGAAGCGCCTGCGCCCGCCGCGCCAGGGCTTCGGCGCGAGAGGAGCCCATCTCCTCGCGGCGTTCCCTGCGGAGGCGCCTGGCGAAGGACCGCGCGCCCGCGGCCGCTCAAGCCCGCCCGCCGCCGCTGCCGCCGCCGCCCGACATGGCCACTTGCGCGCCCGAGCGCGCCCGGGCGCGCAGCGCGAGGGCCTCCCGAAAGCCAGCTTGAGCCTAAATGGCTACGGAGAAGAGGAGGAGGAGGAGGAGGAGGAGGAGGAGGAGGAGGAGGAGGAGGAGGGGGAGGAAGAGGAGGAGGAAGAGGGGGAGAAGGAGGAGGAGGAGGAGGCGGAGGAGGAGGAGAAGGGGGAAGAGGGGGAGGAGGGGGAGGAGGCGGGCGAGAAGAGAGAGGACAAGAGGGCGAGGAGGGCGAGGAGGGCGAGGAAGAAGGCGAGGAAGAAGGCGAGGAGGGGGGGACGAGAAGGGCGAGGGCGAGGAGGGCGAGGAGGATGGCAAGGAGGACGAGGAGAGAATGGAAGGCGAGGAGGGGGAGCACGAGGAGGGCGAGGAGGCACAGGGGAGGGGACGACGAGCGGGCGGGGTGACGAAGCGCAACCACGGCGCGACGGAGGAGAAGGAGAGCTGACGACGCGAAATCGACGACGACGACGACGACGACGACGACGGCGACGGCGACGGCGACGGCGACGGCGACGGCGACGGCGACGGCGACAGCGACGGCGACGGCGGTGGCGGCGACGGCGGCGGCGACGGCGACGACAAGGAGGGGGGGGCACGCCGAAGCGCGGGAGCCCAGGAACGACGAGAGGGCGGGGTGACGAAGCGCAACCACAACTCGACGGAGGAGGAGGAAAAGGAGGAGGAGGAACAGGAGGAGGAGGGGGACGACAAACAACGACGACGACGACGACGACGACGACGACGACGACGACGACGACGACGACGGCGGCGGCGACGGCGGCGACGGCGGCGACGGCGGCGACGACGACGGCGACGAGGGGGGGGGCGACGAAGCGCAGGAGCGACGAGGAGGGGGGCGGGGCGCACAAGGAGGGAGGGGGGCGCAACGAAGAGGGAAGGGGGGCGCAACGAAGTGGGAGGGCTAGGGCGGTCGGGCGGCGCACAGGGCGGCCTCGATGGGTGTGCGGCAGCCACGGTGGAAGACGAGCACCAGGCGGGGGCGGGGGGAACGCACAGAGGAGGAGAGGCACGACAAGGGGTGCTCCCCCCGTCCGAGAGGGGAGCACCATGCGGAAGGAGGCGGGGCGCGAAGAGGAAGGAACGGAGGGGGGAGGAGGAGGAGGACGAGGAGGAGGAGGAGGAGGAGGAGGAGGAGGAGAGGCGGAGGAGGAGGAGGAGGAGGAGGAGGAGGAGGAGGAGGGGAAGGAGAGGAGGAGAGAGGGAGGGGACGGAGGGGGAGGAGGAGGGAGGAAGGAAGGATCAGGAAGATAGGCGAGATGCGTATGCTAGGGGAAGAGGGGGTGTGCATGAATATAATATATATATATATATATATATATATATATATATATATACATATATACACATACATACACATAGAGAGAGGTGCAGAAAGTGAGAAAGAGAGAGAGAGAGAGAGAGAGAGAGACGACGACGGCGAACAAAAAAAGACAGGGACAGAGAGGCGGTGGCAGCTGCATTACCTAAAGGGGTACCGAACAAAACTGGCTCATGCCAGAGGCGGGTTGCTGCGCTCGGACACATGGCAAAGGCTACACTGTGTGCGCGGAGCCGCCGATGCATACAACGTGTACAGAAGCAGGCGCGGCCCCAATTAGAAAGGAAGGCTGGCCGTTATTTGCGTGCCATATAACAACAAGTGCAACATCATGTCAACTCTGAATGGAAGGATTCTGAAAGCAACTACATGTCAACACAAGTGCAATACAATCGGCATTATCTTGGTCTTGGGATCCTCCTTTGGTCTCGGACTGAGTATGCCCAACTATTCGGGCACCCCTGGTCCAGTTCGCCCTCAGCGTTTCGGCGTGTGGTTGGCCATCCTCTTCAGGACCTGCCACAACCAACCACACGGGGCAGGCCGACGCTGTCACGAACGACATCCCTGTTTCCTCCGGGACTTCTTCGTACACACCAAAGTTGCCAGAAGATGTCAAACAAAGTTATTGGAACCTGCTGTTTTGGCCTTCAAAGAAGGGGGGGCAACTGCCCCCTCTTTCGTGACACCGTCGGCACCTGGCGGACTGGCCGCAGGTGCCCCCTTTTTCCTTGAATGTCTGACCCCCGGCCCCCGTGACCAGAGCACTGACTGGAGCACAGGACGGCGGAGCCGACTTCACAGCAGGCATGCCGGAATCTCTCTGACTGATGGGAAAAAAGGCTGCGCCGCCGAAGACGAGCTCCTGGAGAGCTTCGGCGGATAACCCGTTATTTGCCTGTCATATCACAACAAGTGCAACATCATGTCAACTCTGAATGGAAGGATTCTTAAAGCAAGTACATGTCAACATAAGTGCAATATAATCGGCATTATCTTGGTCTTGGGATCCTCCTTTGGTCTCGGACTGAGTATGCCCAACTATTCGGGCACCCCTGGTCCAGTTCGCCCTCAGCGTTTCGGCGTGTGGTTGGCCATCCTCTTCAGGACCTGCCACAACCAACCACACGGGGCAGGCCGACGCTGTCACGAACGACATCCCTGTTTCCTCCGGGACTTCTTCGTACACACCAAAGTTGCCAGAAGATGTCAAGCAAAGTTATTGGAACCTGCTGTTTTGACCTTCAAAGAAGGGGGGGAACAACTCTGGCAGCTGGTATTGGATAAGCATACACATATATCTATATATATATATGTGTATATATATATACATGCGGCGACTGTTCGCAACAGGGCGCCCATTATGGGGGAGACCCCACCTGCTCGAAACAGGCGCCAAAAACAGCCAAGATCTACACCATGGGGGGGGGCTGCGAGGGCCCGCACCAATCGGCAAAACAATGAATAAGAAGACGACTACCATACGGAGATGTGTCTCGCCCACAAGCTGCGGCACGGCCGCAGCGCGCGGATCTTCACAGCCTATCCCCATCAGAGGCCTCCTGGATGGGGTCCGAGTAGATGGGGTCGGAGAATCGCGCCGCATCGCCGATGCATCGCCAATGCATCGGCGATGCACTGGCACCATCGGGCTCTGCATCGCGCCGCATCGGCGATGTATCGGCGATGCGGAGCGATCCTCCGACCCCATCTACTCGGACACCATCTAGGAGGCCTATACCCAGCCAATGCCCCTCCCGCTCCCCCTCGTGTGGCCTGCTGCGACGGCACCCCGTAGGCCCCTGGGCAGGCGCGGGAGGCGAGAGGCGGGTGGCGATGCACATATGACATGTATAGATGCACACAGGCAACACATGCAGAGAGAGAGAGAGAGAGAAAAAAAAAAAAAAGCCCTCGCACACCACAGACAAACAAACAAAAAATGCCTGGTCGACGACGAAGAGCAATAAGACGAAGCAATAAGACGAAGGAGAAGTAAGGAGAAGTAAGAAGAATAATAAGAAGAAAGGTAAGAAGAACAAGAGAGAAGAAGAAGAAGAAGAAGAAGAAGAAGAAAGGTAAGAAGAACAAGAAAATAAGAAGAAGAAGAAGAATGAGAAGAAGGGGGTCTCGTGCGCTAGGACTCGACGACCTTGCGCGGAGCACTGCGCGGGCCGCCGGCTCGGCACCTCCACACGGAGAGAAGAGGGCGCCCGCGTGCGACCTCGCGCGGGCGGCAGGCCCACGAGTGACCGCGCAGTCGAGCCCTGCTGTTAGCCTTCTTCTCTTGCAACCGCGACCCGCTCACGAGTATAACCAGCCTCGAACGTATCCCTATCCCTAAGATGGGCGAGCAAAAAGCGAGGACAATCTTAGGGATAGGCCCTCAAACACTAAGAGTTTCTTGATAGGCCCTCAAAAACCAAGAGCTTCAGGCTGGTAAGAGTACTCCGAGTTTCTTTATAAGCGTCTGAGGGGCGTCACCCCCGCCGACAGCCCCACATCGACCCCCGTCGCGGGCAGCCACCGCGCGCCGAAGGCGCTGCGACCCCCGTCGAGGCGCGACGACGAGGCGAGGTTGACCCCCGTGGGGGGGTAGCCCTCCACGCTTATTCAGAAACCCAGGGCAAAACCGTGCACTCCATGGCCAACGAATCGCAAATACTGACCGCAAACCCTGACAGGCGGCTTCATATATCGGCGGTGGACAAACCTCCCTGTAGTAAAACACCCTTTTGTGAAAACGGCCTGGGACCGAAACCGACGGACTTGGACTCGCAAAAATGACGGCCGCGACGCCCTCTCGCGAACCGAAAACGGCCAATTCGCTAATCGACGTGTCAGGGTAGAAGGTCTGTCCATCCCCGAATATGCAGCACCATCCCAGAAGCAGAAAAACGCCCGCGAGAACAGTCGAAGGTTGAGCAGGGACCGACCGTCCCGGCATTCCTACAGGCACATCACGGAATGTCCTCATAACCAAAAAATAGTCGAAGGACAAAGACCAGGTTCTTAGAACATAAGCCCGATGTGCTAAAACAAGACGGTCTCAACCAGAAATAATATGAGAACATGTCGTGCAAACTACAATACGTGCTTAGAACATCCTTTGGTGGGCCAAAAGATGGACAATCTATTCGAACCGTTACACATTCGAGGGGCACTCTGAATCACCCCCCCGCCCCCGACATCAATGCTGATCTCAGTGAAGGCGGTGCCTTGGGGGCTCGAATCATTCTGTCCACTCACGCCCCCTGCTTCGTCACGCCATCCATAGTAGTTTCGGGGGGTCTGGGGGCCATCTTGGGCCACAGGGTTCGAATATATTGTCCATGTGCGGGCCTGAAGGTGAGCGTTTTCTTATTCGGCGTTTCGACATTGGGCGGAAGGGGGGGGGAGGGGGGGTCTGGCTCCGGACCTCTGTTTAATGCGACTGTTTGCAACAGTGCGTCCTATGGGGGGGAGACCCCACCTGCTCGAAACAGGCGCCAGAAACAGCCAAGATCTACTCCATAAAAGAGGGGGAGGGAGGGTGCGAGGGCCCGCGCCGACCGGCCAGACAGCGAATCAGAAAACGGCGACACCGCTTCGCCATTGCTCGTGAAGGGAGGCGCAGGCGAGGGGCGGGAATGGGAATGGGAATGGGACGCTCGTGCGGGCAATCGCCCAGGCCCCTTAAGGGCGGAGCGGGTGAGGCCGTGGCCTCGCAGACATGGCCGGCTAGCTGGAAGCTTACTCAGGCGGCCGGCGCCACAGAAGTATCAGGAGTGGAACACGTGACAAATTGCGCCTCCAGTTTAGTCCAAGCCCGGCGCAGGCGAGGCGAGGGGAGGCGCAGGCGAGGGGAGGGGGGTATTGCAAGCACGGCGCCCACCTGCTTCTGATGGTGCCCCTGTTGGGCCCCTATCGCGGGCCTGCCCGCAGGCCTTCGCACCGAGGCCCCGGGGGAGACGGGGGGGAGGTGCCCCTCCTCCCCCTCCTCCTCCTCCACCTCCTCCTCCTCCTCCTCCTCCTCCTCCTCCTCCTCCTCCTCCTCCCCCTCCTCCTCCTCATCATCTTCCCCCTCCTCCTCCTCCTCCTCCTCCTCCTCCTCCTCCTCCTCCCGAGGTCTGGGGGAGATGAGGGGGGATCTCCTCCTTCTTCCTCCTCCTCTTCCTCCTCCTTCCCCCTCCTGAAGACGAGGCCAGGACGAGGGCAAAATGGGGTGACGATCAAGCAAAAACAATTCCCAAAGAGGCCGAGCAAGAGTGAGCAGCACCCCACATAAGTAGCGGATTGACAAATAACGCTGAGTTGCGGCGG